ATCGAGTTTCCCTGTACAGAAATCCACATCATGAAGAGATTCTGCGCATTGGTAAATCCATATGTGCTTGGAATGGCTTGGGTTAACCGGCTTATAGACCCACCAACCAATCCAAACACATGAGATGGATAGGCACCATTTCAGTGATGCTTGTTTTTCAAAGGATAAAACACCGGTTTGGATGGTTTGTGCTCATTTGTGCTCCAAAACAAGGTTCACACAGATTCTGTGTGTATAGAACATGTGTACTTCTCAGGGCCCATTGGAAAACACGGCCCATTCGATGTCCCAACTATGAAACTGTCAAGGCACGTGCCAGAGTAGCTCCACAAGTCCTTCACATAGTTCTCCCCATCCTCGGATGATTGGATGACGGAGAATCTGAGGAAGGATCACACCAAAGAATGAAAACACGTCATATTGGCTTCGCTCGAGTAGGGTGAATCCAGTAGATGGCTCATTTGTTCGGGTTGGTGAACAAAGGGATCGCCATTGAACTGGGCAAGCTAGTTGTGTGCCACCTACACCTCAAATCACAAAGAGGTATACTAATCATTGTATAATTGTATGTATAGTACTATATATAAAAAGATATGTTCATATATACAGTATACGATGATCTTAAGCACGTCTCATCCTCCCACAAAAGCAGTCTGCAGTGCTGGTAGACTTGCGAAGCTACCAACACCTTCAAATTGATGTACTCTCGTTAAAACTCCCCCTGCACCCCGAACTCGCTATCTCCTATCCAAGGAATTCGATGGATCCCCCTCCAACCACCACCCCAATGTGAGGTCACTCTTCCACCACCCACCTGGTTCTTCCCAACTGAACCCCTTAAGAGAACTGAAGACCTCCCAAGGGTCTAGTAAGGGACCCTCAAAAAGGACGAACTTGAAGAACTTGGTGCCAAGTTCAATGCTTTCAGAGTGCTCCAATCCTCTATGTTCCATCCATCATCACCCTGCATCTTCTGCTTCCCCTTTCGCTTCCTCCATCCCGTCCCTCCGTGTCGGGCCACGAACCCACCGAACATCCACAGCTGCAGCCCGTCCCAGCGCAGCGCGTGCTCCTCGCGCGCCGCGGGCGCGGAGGCCGCGGGCGAGGATCCTTGCGCCAAGAGCCAGGCCTGGGTTGGGGGTGGTGCTGGGTGGAGGAGTTGTATACAGGTTGGTGGTTTTGCCTGGACATTGGATGGAAATGGCGTATGGAAAAGGGGCGGGGCGTCTAAGATGGTCTAACCCACTCACCAGGTGGCAGGGCTTTCAAGTTTTTGGTTGACGAGTTGTAGGTGGAGAGTTGCTCGCAAGTCTAGAAGCTCCGAGTGACTAGCGGCTAGCGAATCCACGTGGAGGAGTTCAGACCCAAATAGAGCCAATTAGGAAAAGGGGCTAAGCCAATCACACCTCTGACTGGTGTTCCGGGCATTGAATTTGAAGACGGTACGGCGAGTCATAAAGACGTACGCTGGAGGAACCGTGCCATTGTGAGTCTAGTCGTGTGACCAACTCCACCACCAACAGTGGAACCTACCATCTGTGCGAATCCAGCGGTAGGATGCCAGCAAAAGGTGTGCTTTCTTCTCTCCACAGCTAGGCGCTTGGCCTAGGGCCTAGCCTAGCAGTGCTTCCCCAGTCCCAACAGGCAAGAATGACTCATCAGGTCATGCAAGGCTCTTCTGCATCGGCATCCTTGGAGACTGAACATTCGACAGGACTCGCGGTTTCTGGGAGTTGCTTACTGGGACTCCTCGAGAAATCACGAAAACTGAAGCACTCGGCTTTGCCCGGATTGGCTGTCACCTCCAAACGCAGCAAATCCACCATCGGTGGCAGGCCACAGGGGTCCCAAAGGGCATTCATTGTTCAACAAACTAATATGCCTGAGCCCAAATACATACACAACACAAAAAACTTAATCGACAAAAATCCGTTGACAAAGCCCAAGTCAAGCGGCATTTCTTCCAAACCCGGCTTGAGATCACTCACCACCAAATCTCTGCCCAACCGCCAAGACGTTTCAAATCACTATCTTGCAAACCCACAACTCCTTAAAATCTTCAGCTGACGCCACTGCCACGTCTCCCACCAACCCCCCCAAACAATCTTCCCAAAAGCCACGAACCTCCTTATCTAATGTAGACTCTTGATGAATAACCCCCCGATTTGAGTTGGAAATCCACTGAAGAGGCCTGGGGAGTTCATTCAGGCCTTGAGTCCTCTGTCATATAAGTCACTGCCAGGTCTCCCAAATCCACAAATCCTCCAACAGCGTCTCTTCTCCACGTCCTCCATGCAGCCACCATCGTCGCTCCACAGCATCCCAAGCTGCCGCGTGCGCCCGGCGCGCGCGGGGCGCGGTGAGAGCGCTGGATGCGAGGCTCCAAGTGGCGAAGACAGGTGTCAAGAGAGAAAGGTAGAGAAGCACCTGGGGCTGGAGAGGCATTGGACACTTTGGTGGGAACAACACGGCGTGGTATGATAGGGCAGGTGTCAAGAGAAGCACCTGGGGGCTGGAGAGGCTTTGGACAACAACACAGCTTGGTACGAGGGTTCTTTCTGCTGGAACGTGAACAGCACAAGGGCCTAACAGGGAATCAAGGGTTTGGAAGAGCAACCTGTGTGATATGTTAGGGCTGAAGATGGACATGTCAGGGCGCTCAAGCTGGAACATATTGGATCTCTCTTGGACTTGCCAGCACAAAGGCCACGATAGGGAAATTAAGGGTTTGGAAAAGCAACTATATATCTGTGGCCCAAAACTGTAAGACTGCAAGAAACCGTCGTCTTCGCAACATACTTGCTAGTGGCCGGGTTGCAGTGTAATCTGTTTTGGATGTAAACATTGAACATGAAGAAGGGCCGGGGATTCTGTATGTCCATTTTTCGCACAAGCACACGTAAAACACAACTATTGTCTGAACATCAAGCAGCTACATTCTTTCTTCTTTATCTAGTTCTTCAACCGCGTTGGGTTTATGATTTCTGCCACTCCCCGCAAGCACCATGGGGTGTAACTCACTGGCTAGCTGTGTCTGTTTTCGCTACACCGTTGGTTCTCCGGTTCGGGGCCCAAGGTCGGTGGCTCCGTTCGGGCCCACAGGAACGGAAAGTGCAAGCACCCTGACTGACGCTCATGGAGCGTCGACCCCTGGAAGCTCGAGTTCTGCACAAAACAGGGAGCTGGCAAATCTTACACTCTGACGAAGTACATGGAAGTGGATGGAAAATGGTTCCTGGCAAGACTCCTAGACTCCTTTTCACTTGCCGAAGGAGGGGTGAGCACCACCATCTTTCATGTTTGAGTCGGTGCATCTGCTTTTGGAAGATCCTCCATCTCACATGGTTGCACATCATATCACCTCATCCATCCCAGCCATCCTGATGTTGCGAGCCACAGCGACCATGGCGCTTCATCGGTCCATCGGACCAATGCCATGGACCCTTTAAGTCCGATCGAGAGTGATCCCTTAGTTTGTGGGGTGCCCCCACATCGAGGCATATGAAAACTTGAAGTTCACCGGCTGAATGTTGTGGATCTTCCTTTTTCAACACCTGATCATGTTCTTTTGCAGGCGGTAGCTGGCCATTTTCGAAGAAATTGAACTGACAATTCTGACAATGTATGTTTTTTTTTCTGGCATTCTTGGGGAACACGCCCCCGAAACATGAAAAACAAGAAGGCCCAACTACAGCATCAACAACATCAGGGGCAGTCCATGCATGACGTACTCCACTTCTCCAACATCCAACGGTGAAACCGCCCCTCTTGAGCAGTGAAACTTCCGAACACGCCAGAAGGACAAGCAATCCTCTTGCACCCGTGGCCACAGAAAACACATGGGGATGTTACTGGATACACCCGGGTCACCTGGGAGAGATTAACATGGAAGCTGAACATGGACCACCATATTCCTCTGCAACCCAGTGGTTTTCAGGTTCCATGCGTGCAACATCTGCTCAAATCTGTTCTTCCTACCCTCCCTCACCCCATCCAAACCTTGATTGGCTGTCAAGTCAAGTCCAACCAGCCCCCCCGTGCAAAACTAGACCGTGAACAACATGAACAACACTGGTTTTGTCAAGCAAAGCCATGGCTCCAAGATCTTCCAAATGATCCATGTTCAGGGCCCTATGTCACTTTGCAGGAGTTTTTCAGGAGGCGACTGACTCACCCAGATTCACTCCCCCAGATTCACCCCTCCCTACCTCGATGTTCGGTTCTCCAATCCATCTACATCACTGTGTCACCGTTGATCAATGTATTAGACTCTGTATACCTGGATGGTGAAGCTCCATCTGAATCTGTAGGGTGTTCTTGATCCGCCCTCCACCTGAAGTAGACTCCCCTCCCTCTCCTGGCCTCGGATCGATGGTCCACGCAGGACCTGCCAGGCCACCCCAGCCGAACTCCCCGGCCACCGCACCTGGCGGTAGACTCTCGAATGGATGGAGGGCGGGGCGGCGAGTCGGCACCGGAACAAGAGGACAGGAACAGTAGCAACCTGGATTCTTCGCCATGAATTCAACCCTCATGAGCTCCCGAACTTCTTGGGCAATCCGATCTCATTCCTGAAGCCATGGCTGATTCGGCCAATCCGCTCTCATCAGCTTCTTTTTCGGTATCAAGATTCGCCGCTTCAACGTCCACGGTCCACTCAGAGCATTCCACGGACCGGGGGGAGGACGTGGCCGTCTGGCCTTTCCCATTCCACTGAAGACCTACAGTACATAGCATGGTGCCTTCAGTAAGACCTACAACGGACTTTACTGAAGACCATCGTTTCCATTCTGACTTTCTGGCTTTTACATAGCATGGTGCCTTTCAACATGCGGCTCATCAGCTCATCAGTAAAGTCCTTTGTGATCAGATATGTGTTTTTCTTCTACGCTGATATCTCTCACAGGGCTGTTACCTGTCATAGGTTTCAGTTCTAGAATGGTGGCGCAGTCCATCCCCACGGTGTACATGTGATCCCATCACCTAGCTGCTATAGCTACTCACTTTCCATTCTGCTTCTGGATGTAGCACGCGATGTGCATGAAGAAGGAGATGGGGAGCAGCAAAGACTCCACGATGTAAGAGGCATTGAAGTACCCACCTGAGCGCGGCGTTGAACACGCGCATCCTTGTGTTGCATACGCTTATATACTTGCCCTAACCCTCTGAGAAGGTGCTTGGGGTGGGTTTGGAGGGTCCAAGTTCCTTTTGAGGAGGTACTTGGATCCCTAATTAGGGTTGTATCTGTTTACATCTGTTTACATACCTTTGATTCAGTGAGAGTGCTCAGGGCTTGGTCCTCTCACCAACCAGTTGAAATGCCACAGCGTGCTGTCAGGTGGGCCACTCCCTGAAAGTTGAATCCATCCAGTTCTGAAAACAACAGGCAACTCCACCGCAACCTGCATATACAGCTTGCAATTTTTGAGGCGTTGAGGTTCCATACGTGCCTTGCCGAGCGTAAGCACTCCATTGTAAAGCCTGTGACCCCAAAACATGTCCCAAATCTACCTCACTCAGTCCTGAATGTATGCCTGAGCCCTCCAAGACTCTGTAGGCCAGTTGACCAGAAAGAAAGGCTCGGATTCCCTGCGGTTACATCCGGACTTCCGCTTCCAACAAAGGTGAGGATTCATCTAGATGTCTGAAACATCAACTAAACACATGGGAAGACTGAGTATCTCATGCTTCTTCCCCACAGGAAGCTGAAGCTAGAGAAGTGCAACAAACCATAAAAGGTTGATGTTCCTCTCCCTATCACCATGTATAACCAGTCTCAACCAGCTTCCCAAACAACTCAGTTTGCAAAGTTGTCCACCCCTTAGCAGCTTGGTTCGGCTGGCTTAGACTGCATTGAATTTCTTAGCTTGCAGGCTTGCAAGTATTTGCAAGTGACCCACTGCGCCCACACTCCTGTCACCCACCGACGAGCACTCCATGGCACCAGCATCCACCTTGGCCCACTGAGGGTCATAGTAGTTGAACTGCAAGTTGCCGTAGAGGCCCACCTCAAGTGGCTGAGGCTTTCAGGGCAGCACTTGCTGGTGCATCACATACAAGAACTTTTCGCAGCATGCACGACCAAATGAGAGAAGTGTAGGTTTGGTGAAAGACAGGGCGCAGCGGCTCAGAAAGCTGATTTGGACTTGATACAGGGTCCGATGTGGCAACACCGCCATAACCCTTTCAGTGCAGCTAGTCTAAGTCAATTCATCTACGTAACTGTCCCCCTGTGGACTGCTTTGAGAGCAAGCAATTTACACATGTATAATATTATGTAATTATGTCCAAAGGATTAAATTTTCTGAAACAGGACCGAAATGGGAGTTGACATTGTAAATGCAGGGTGGGCACTTCGGAAGCCTCCCTACAGCAAACGTTACGACTCAGTCCAGCTTGAGTGCCGCACTGAACTTGCTGTGCCACCGACACCTGTCAAACTTATTATATAACTTAGGGCTCCACCCGAGCCGCCCCAATCCATGAACACACTTGGCCTTGCGATCGGCCATGCATGGACCCCACAAAATGACAAACATGTGTCGAAAACGAAGGTGCCTAAGAAGAAACGAAGATGCCCGTCTTTTCCGCCATGCGTGCACGATGCAAAAGGGGACGATCACTGCGGCTCGAGAGGATCGGCACAACGTCAGATCAAATGGAGGAAACATGAAACAGCACCCCCAAATTTAAGTTGATCTGACTAACGGTGAACATCACGTTGTTCATTTCCTCTTTGGCCCTATATCTGGCTGAGGCTTTCCGAGACCTATTCTTGGCCGTCGGAGATTCCTTACGAATCCTCAGTTCGTGTTCTTCGTCCCAGAGCGACAGCTTTGATGTCCTGAGCAAATCCTCTAGCGCTCCGTTGGTCTTGGAAATATCGTCCTTCGTCAGAGAATCAGCTATCATTCTGGGGTGAGGTGCCCAGCGCAATGCGCTACGAGACTTAGCCATTGATTCAATGATGATGCTAAGTTCTATGGAGGTGCGCCTGTCTTGACGGGATGATGGACTCTTCTTCTGAAGGGAATCAAACAAGCTCTTCGCATCAGTCACATGACACTGTTGTAACCTCTGATGCAACTCACAATTCTCCCTAAGAACAGGAACATAGGGGTTCAGTGACTGCATCCAATCCCGTCTAAGAACATCGCCATACATGACATCTCTGATCATGATCTGCACCCACTCGACTTCTGCGAGAGCCTGACTAAAGGCTAGAGCTTCACTTGCTAAGGTCGATGCCACTCTTTGTCGAAGTTTCGATGACCGCCAGCTCAGAATGCTCACCTTGGTGTTCTGTGATGCGCTTGGCATGCGTCCGGCTGCCATGATCACCCATGCTCCTTGTACATTGTCAATGGCACTGTCTGGCGATGGTGGCAAACTATCTACACCGCCGGCATCGGATGCTGCTATCAAAACCATGTCTTCGGTCTTGAATGAGTGAATGGTGAGAACCTGCTGCGCTGTGTTTCTCAAGTGGGCTGCAAGTCGGTTCAAACAGCAAACGTCATGAACGGTGGCTTCCTTGAGTCGGGAGGCAAGAATGCTAACCACTCCGGCTGCCTCTGGTCGTGTTTGATGAGCTACCCACGCTATTCTGTACAGCATGGATCGAAATAATTCAAACTCCTCTGAGGTCAGCTGATCGGCTTTCTCGGCTTTCCTGCCGGGTGTCATTTTCACGGGCTGGATCTTCTCCAAAATGTATTTCTCTTGGTGCATCTCTATCCTGTCAGGAAGGACCTTGACATGTCTTCCAGCGAAATCAGCCTCATCATGCTCCATCTTGCCAAACAAAAAACGTTCACTAAGCTCTTTCAAGATCCACTCTTTGACGTCTGAGCGAGCGGCGACGTTCAGGTCGTCGACTTCCACAAGTATCATGGCTTCTATGTCGCCTCTATTGTCTCGCTTGTAGTACCAGCATGGTTCTAGCAGGGATCTTTGAAACCCTAGTTCTCCCAGGTAGTTGATCACTGTCTGATGCCAACGAATAGGGGCGTCTTCTAAGCCATACACTGGTGCTATCAATTGTATCACCGTGTCTTTTGGCAAGTCGAGACCTGGGCAGGCTTCAACATACAACTCTCCTTGTGGTCGACAGAGTGGTTCCGATTGGCAAAATGCTTGCTTGACGTCGCAGAAACTGATGGAAAGTTTCAGGTTGGCACAAATTTGAAAGAAAACAGCAATGCTCTCAGTAGTGGGCATTGGAGAGTACGTTGAGTAGGTGCCGTTATCCGGATCACAATGACCCAGAACACACCAGCGACTCTTGAACTTCCACTGTCCTACTCCTGGCATAGGCTTCTTTCTGCGCACGAACCTTGATGGGAGAATTCGATGAGGTGTTTCCTTTCTCACACGTCTTGAGTCCTCCTGACTAAGGATCTTGACTGCGTTCAGATCGAGAATCCTTCTCCATTCTGCAGCATCGGCCTCCCTGAAGCCTCGCATCTCTGCTGGTGTAGCCTCCTTCATGTTGAACTCTTGGGACTTGGGCTTCGCGGGACGAGCCATGAGCACCTTATTCTCTGCTTTGAGCTCGAAGAACGACAGCAACTGTTGAGGCTCTTGACTGCTGTTGACGAAGAGGTCATCATCTTCCTCTAAGTCTTTCTTGTCCTGAGGAGCTTCTTCCTTGAACTGGTTCTGAAACTCCTTCAGCTGGTTGGGGACCGCACTCTCATTGACAGAATCGCTCGAAGCTGCTGCTGTCTGAGGGTTGACAGCTGAGTCGCTGGAGGTCTCTTTTAGTCTTCTCATCTTCTCCTCTCTGTCCATGCGTTTCATGGTCCTCAGGGCAACTCTTTCAAGATGTTCTGTCTCAGAGATCTGTCTCTTGGATCTGGTTGACGCCGATGTAGTTCGACCTACTGGAGCGGTCTGCTTCTTCTTGCTTGCTGTTGTCTCGTCTGCTGAAGTCGGTCTCTTCCTGCCTTCCTTGATGGTTGACATGCTTGAGGTGTCTTCCAGGGCTGATCTGTCATCCTCGATGGGAACTGCGGCTTGAGGCTCTCTGATGTTCCTGAGGAGAGATGTTGTCTCCACAGGGGGGGTTTCTGAGGACGGTGTTGGTTCCAGTTGAATCGCCGCTGGCACGTCAGCTGCTGGTGAGACCATTGGCTCGACCTGGTCGTGCGATGGAACGGAAGTTGTGTCTTCTTCATCTGGGGTTCCTTCTGCTGTGACGTCTACGGCACCCGCTTTAGCAGACCTGCCCTGTCTGATCAAGTCCTGTAGTTCTCCTGAGCGCGATAGATCTGCTCCGATCGACTCATGATGAGAAGCCGGCCTGAGCTGGTCTGAGTTGCATTTCCAAAGTCTTGCCCTCATGGATACCCAGACGGTATGCCCGGCTTGAAGTACGACAATGCCCGGACCTGTCCATCTGGCTCTGGTCAGGTGTCCCTGGCCAGTGCCAGGAAATCGACGCCACACATAGACCCACTGACCAACAGCCCACTCTCTTTGCTTGTGTGCTCTTTGACTTGAACTTCTCTTGATCTTGTCCCGGCTGGTTGCTTCAATGCACAGTTGCCGAGCCCTGTGGCGAATATGGTGAGCCTTGGTGAAGGCTGAGGCTGCCGTATCTTGGTCATAGGGATCTGTGTCAATCTCTCTCCATCCCAGGTCGTGCATTGGGTCATCGTCGAGCAACTCAGTCGGCACCCTGGGGTTGATTCCAAAAACAAGCTGGGAGGGACTATAGCCCCCGCGAGAAAACCACCTGTTCTTGCAGGCTACCATACAAATGACGAGTTCTTCAAGCTCACCCACGCTGCTGAGGATGGTCTGACCCGAATTCACTTCCATCTCTGCTCTCTCTTTCACCCAACCTCCGTGTCTCTCGGCCTTCGAGTTCTGCCATGGAGAGGCGGCATCGGTGATGATCTGAAGGGCTCCAAATTGTTCGAGTGACCTCTCGAACTGCTGCTTGAACTCTGATCCTCCGTCGGTGACGACAGTCTCGGGAATTCCAAAGGGATGAATCCACATCTTGCAAAAGAGAAGCCAAGTCTCTTGAGAGGATGGAACTCCTCCCTCGTAGTTCTTGAGATGGGCAACTTGTTGATAATTTGTTCCCTGACAGATCACGTTCAAGAAGGCTTGAGTTCGGTTCTCAAATGAGAGATACAAGAAGTCCACACCGACTATTCTATTGAACATGAATGTCCGTGGCAATGCTGCGTGTCTTCTCTCAATGGGCCTCCTTTGTCTCATGCAGTGTTCACAATTGAAGGAGTCCTTCACATACTTCATGACGCCCTCCTTGGCACCGGCTGCCTTGAGCATGGAGAGCATCTGTTCTTTGGGAAGATGTCCCATGTTCAGATGCATCAGCTGTATCTTTTTCTTCTGCTCGGGGGTCAGAAGAGGAGACATGTCCTTGTTCAGGGTGCCTGGAGTTCTCGGCTGTGGCACTGGGACTTCTGAGTCTGAACCTTCGTCAACAACTGATTATGTGGCACCTCTGCATTCAGGTCGCTAGCTTTCAGCTCAGTCGAGGCAAGTTCTTCCTCATTGAACAGCCGGCCGGCGCCTCGTCATGGGCTACTCACACGGTTGCATGGCTGCTGAGACAAAAAGGAGTGCTTCGTTTTCTTTTTGACCAGTGTGAACTCGGACTGCAAGTGAGCGATCAGGGTCTCTCACGGAAGGCCACTGGAATCGTCACCAATCACACCGGAATTGCCTTCCTGCTTTCACAGTATCAGTGCACCAAGACACATCATCACGTACATCTTGAGAGTGGCCTTCCGAAGAAAGCGCAGATATACCCTAAAAACATGATACAGGTCATTCTCGACGGGCTGCGAATTGGTGCAAGTGACTTCATCGGAGTGCAGGTAGGGAGTCAGGAGCCGCCTCCATCTGTTCTCTGGTCAGCTTCTCGACAGCAATTCTCTTGAGGTTCACATTCATCAACACGCTGAAAAGTCGGCAGTCTGGGCTCAGAAGGACTAGATCGGGCGATTGCTCTTCCAGTGTCTTCCAAAGCTGCCGTCGGTCCTCAAAATGCAAAGCGTTCCAGCCGTTGGTGAGGTCAAAGTTGGGTGGCTCTGTGGTGAGAAATCCTCGCTGTTTCGCCATCTCGGTCACGCGAGGAGGAGAGAAAACCTCCATGATCTTGAAGCTCTGGGAAAGAAATCCATGGCTACAAGCTCGCACGTTGCTCAAACCCTGGGCGCTAAGCTCTGTCGAGCTAGGTAGTCGAACGCGATCGGTTCGGACGGACGAGCGAGAGTCTTTGGAAATTTCTGCAGACACCGAAGTTCCACAGAACTGATGACGCTGTTGGCCCTCAGATCTCGCATCTATTTTTGCGTGACTCGAGCCATCTTCTTTCTTTTCTTGTTGGCCTTCATGCTCTTCTTTCCTTTCTTGTCGGCTCCCAGGCTCTTGATCTGTTCTTGTCACCACATCTACACTCTCATCAGCAAAAGAATCGAATTCGGCGGAAAAATCTTGGAGTGAATTCAACAGTAACCTCTTTTGTTTCCTAGTCAGCTGTGCCTCACGACCTTCAGGATAGTCATGACAGACAAGTTCATCCGACAAGTCAGAAACTTCCAAAAGAAACACCTCACGAACAGTTCCGTTGACCTCTTGCTCAGCAATAAAACAAGATTCGGGGTTGATCGAGGAGGCAAGCTTCCTAGATGCTTGAGAAAAAGGAACAGTCAACCACGTGCTCCTGTGGGAATCTATACACTTACTGTCTGACGTGGAATTCTGACTGGTGAAACTCTGAGCTGCCCAATCCCTCAGTTCTGACCCGGAGGACTCTCCGGAATGGCATCCCAGTCCTCGTCCTCGTTGATCCCCTGCTGCTGCATGTAGCGCCTCGTGTCGGCAAAGCCCTGCGCAAGCAGCCGCTGGATCTCTTCTGGGGAAAGAGCTGGGAAACAGGCGCCCTGCTGCCTCGTCATGTCGTTCTGTTGCATGATGCGTTGCTGTGCCAAGAACAGCTGCTGCATCTGGGCGTCCTGTCGCTCTTGTGCTCTCTGCTGTTCCTCCACTTGACAGCGCAGAGCCTGGTGAAATCCCTCGATGACAGGAGACATGACTTGAGACATCACGGCAGCAGTGCTCTGAGCCAGCTGCTGTGTCTGGCCCTGAAGCGCTCGTTGGATGTCCGGCATGAGATCTGGCGGCGGTGAGGTCTCCGAAGTCATCATGGGTGGAGGTAGATAGCCGCTCGAAGCGCCCGGCGTGCTAGGTGCCGGCTTGCTCACACATAGGTCTCCACCGTCGCTGACTTGGTCATGCGGGCAGCCGGAGGAGGATTGTCCTTGCTGTAGCGGACAAAGGTCAACTTGGTCTGACACATCGAGCATCTGGTCCAAGTTCCGTGTTGATTCGCACCCTTGACCTCGTAGGCCTTGGGATGGGAGCACTCCGAAGGTCGTGGAATCTTCCTGGTGTCCTCTGTCTCGTATGTCCCATGCCAGCTGGTCCTGGCCTGGACGTCGTCGCATCGAGGGGCAGCTCCCTCATGTTGAGAGCTTCCAGGGAGCCTGGTCCTCGAGAGAGAATCAACATCTTTCTCGTGAAGTGGTACCAATGATTCTCCAGAGTCTCTCGATCGGCCTCGGAGCGAACACGGGACTTCTTTGCTCGTGATGTCATCAGTCCCGCAGACGCCATGATGCAAGACTTTCTCAGATTGGGCTCTATGGTGCTGATCGCGAAGCGCGCTCACGCTGTCTCTTGAGGCGTCAGAGGGACGATCGGTTTGGTGCAGTGTGAACACGTGCTCAGGAGAGGTCTGAAGTCTCACTCTCTGCTGGGAAAAAAGTGACATGACCCTAGCAGTGGACCAGTGTCGTTCAGTGAAATCTAAAGGACAGTCAGTGACTTCCGAGACATCTCTTTGAAACTCAGCATCGTTTGGTCTCTCACGTTTCGCGTTTAGCTCAAGCAAACAGCACGTGTTGCAATGCACCAGCCAGGACGTGCGAAAGAGAAATTGTGTGTCTTGTTGAGTGAACTCTCGAAACGTGAAAAAATTCCCAAGCAACGGATCACAGATGGCCGCACTCGATTCAAAACTCAGTTGACTCATGCTCACTCCTACAAAAACAAGAAACTGAAACAGTTCGACCGACTCAGGGCTCGCCGCCATGTATGCTCGACGCTCTGACGAGGGCACATTAAAGGCCCGAGAAGGAAGTCCTAGTTCCTCTGACAACTTGGCTGGGATTGGAAAATCACTGCCGTCCCAGTCGGCAATGTCTACGAGGCGGTGGCCCGAAGGTAGGCGCTTCATGGTGGTCTCCGTGTCAAAAGCCTGAAAGCGAATGCGATTGTTCCCGGTGTCGATGATGGCCTTCCCATATTCCAACAGTCCTATGGACAAAAGTTGTGGGATGTCATCGGCCACTACGGTCAGCTTGATCACACCTGGTTGTCCGCCAAGAACACAAGGTGAGAGGGCCATGAAGAGAGACTTTGCGTCTCCTCCGACCCCGGAAGCCTTGGATGGGGACTCCTCAAGCTTGATGGTTCTCAGACCAACTTCATTCAGCCTCTTCTCAAGCTTCTCGTAGCTTCGCAGTCCAATGAGGTCTTGCGAAGCTCCAGGGTCCACGATGGCATGACCTGCTGCCACTTCCAAAAAGCAACCGCTGTTCGCGGATTGGAAGTTCAGATAGTCTCCGACCAAGAACGCTGGTGAGCTCGCTGAGCCTTCTGCCACTCCAAGATAGGCAAAAGCGTTCATCTTGACTGATCTATCGACACTCTTGCGAGTTCCCTCTTTGGGTGGTTCCGGACAATCTTCTCGCCAGTGACCTTTCTTGCCGCAGTTGTTGCAGAAGGTCACTTTCTTGATCTCCTCGATGGACATCTTTCTCCTGTTGAATGGCCGGCTCGGCCTGGAGCTCCGATCGTCAAAGTGTCGACGGTCCTTCTTCCTGGCGGCTTTCAAGAGCTTGTTCTCCTTCCAGGTTCTCTTTCGGTCCTGCTGAAGGTCGGCCATGAGGCACAAAGCTTCCTCTTCGTCGACCTCCTGCGCCTCTAAAGCCAGGAAGATCTCCTCATCATCAATGTCGGACTCGGAATGCTCCACCTCGGAAGCTCCACCGAAGTAGCTTGTCTTGCCACTCTTGATAATGCTCTCCTCATCCAAGTCCAATATCTGCAAGGCCTTCTTCACTTCAGAGTAAGAGTGCTGACCCTTGGTCAAGACTCGAAGATTCTGCATCGCTTGTCTGGGAAGCCCAGACTGCTCTTCAAGAAGGATGCCCTTGATGTCCTCCGGAAGGCTGACATACCGATTCGCGAGCTCAAACTGGGACTCTCTCCTCAAGGCGTACTGAGCCAGTCCTTCGTCTGGCTTCCTAGCGCCTTCAAACAAGGCAGCTCGGACCGCTCTCCGACGGTCAGAGTCTTCTTTCTCCCCAGAGAGGATGTCCAAAACACTGAGGATCTCGGTGAGGTAGGACGGACTGGACAAAGTGGTCTCGGTAAGATGATCTAGCTTGGCCTGAAGATCCCAGTCCAAGGTCTTGAGAACCTTCTCAGCTCTCCTCCAGATGGCTACGTCGGTGTTTGCATTCCATCGAAGGAGTGCCCTTCGCCACAACCTATAGTTGTTCCAACCTGACCAGGATGGAGGATCGCTATAGTCCCCCTTGGACTGATAGCCCCCTGCCCACCAGGTCGACCACGCTCCTTGGAAGTGCTGATCAGCTTGTCCAGTAGCCACGGATGTCCGCCTGGACCATGGGTCATACGATCTCTGCTGCCACGGATCTGGAGGGTCCGTCTTCGACTGAGGAGGTGCTGTGGATGCTGCCCCTGCATCATCCTTCACGTGCTCGACACGCCATGGAGAGCCATACCAACCGCTCTGCCCAGCGTGCCACCATCGCTCATCCCACTCTCTCCACTCTTCTTCCGTCCACTCTCTTCTGCCTTTGACCTCAGCCGCGGTGCTCGTCCCCTCATCGTCGTCAAGGTCAGCTTCACGTCTGTCCGGATCTCCTAAGGCTTCTCCTGGATTCGGCATAGCCAATGCTCCGGTTACCACTGTCGAAAACGAAGGTGCCTAAGAAGAAACGAAGATGCCCGTCTTTTCCGCCATGCGTGCACGATGCAAAAGGGGACGATCACTGCGGCTCGAGAGGATCGGCACAACGTCAGATCAAATGGAGGAAACATGAAACACATGTGTTCAAGTGGCTGAAAAGTTCAGTCCATGAACTCAAAGAGAAATCCTGGGGAAACAGGTTGATTTCTTCCAGGAGTACCTTTCCTATCTACTGTAAGCTCATTCCTGGCTACCCCACGGAACTACATCGCCCTCCGAGATTCTTGCCTTCTCTCTTAAAGCTGCGCCCATTCACTTGGATAAAACAATCCCCTCTTTCCACAAGTTGAACCGTCACGAACCGTCACAACTCGGACTCCGGAGACGGAGTCCTTGGTCCCGCTCGCGACCGGGTCCCCGTCCGAGGAGCGCCGAAGAAGAGCATCGACAGGAAGGCCAACTCGTTGGAACTGAAAGCCTTCAGGTTGCCAATCACATTGCCTCAGCCCAGCCGGATCCGGCTGCAAAACGGCGGGTTGCATTGGAGCGGTGTCCGGTCCATGTCGGTCCGCCTAACCAGCCGGGTCGGCTGGTAGCCGCATCGGAGAGGTGTCGGTGTGCCTTCCGTGATTCTGGTTTTCGGAGATCCAAATCCAGGGCGCCGGAGTTTTGGGGTCTGGTCGGAGAAACCCGCAGGAACTTAAGAGCAAGAGAAAACGCCTCACCAGCTCATGTCTTTTTTGTGAAGTCCTATCAACATCAATCAACCAAGCACCTGCAAGGCTAAATAATTCTTGCAACGAAATGGCAATAGACCCACTTGAGTTGCGGAGAGATCTCTCCAGCGACCGTTGGACCGTTGGATGCCCAGCACTTCTCCCCAAAGATCGATCGGTTCTCGTTTCCCCCGATCCGCTGAGCCCCAAAACGAACGCCATCGTGGCTCACGAGCTGCACAGAACGAACGCCATCCGGCACCGGTGCCGGATTCCGGGTGTCCAGCCCCGACTTGGGGTCCATTGGTGATATCAGGGGTGTCCATTGGCCACCCCGACTTGGGGTCCAGGATCAACACCTCAACATGCACATCATGCACTTGAGGTTCATCCATCACATGGCACCAACATGTTGAGCATTTGATGGCTGCAAATTGCACGAAACCAAACCAAGCAGGAAATCCACAGACTCCAAGCCATCTACTCAACCATTTGCCGCTGAAACCCCTCAACAACAAGCTGTGAAAGTTCCAAACTCTGCTTCAAACATATCATATGATTGTTTTTGGGCGCGCTTCCCCACAAAGCCAATATAGCATAGCTGAATTGGTCGGTTCCTTTCAGTGGCCGGCGCTTCTCTGAGTGAGAGTGGCGGACAAGCCTTGGGCCACAATGGCCTCCCTCTGCACCCCACATGTCCCTGTCCAACAATTGGGGCGAACACCAATGGCAACGGGGTGCAAAAAGGTTGAACCTACCATTGGAACCTGAGCCGAACAAACAGAACGCTTGCAACTTTTACAACCCCGATTGACAATTTGTGTTGCAAACAACCCACAAGTTAAGAAGTCAGGCACCCTCCCTACAATCAAACCAGCTTCTTCAACAGCACTAGTTCTGCATCCCGCCTCATCCAAGCAGTGCTTGGATGAAATCCATCCAAGGGACTGGTGTACTTGCCGTTCTTCACGATGGGTCGTCCTGGATAGTCAGGTGCGAAGCCCTGCATCTTGTCCGGGTGCCAGTACATAGGGCCCTTCATGTACTCGGAGGTGTACTGCCTCAGCGGTATAGTCAATGTGAGGAACCTGGTTGGATTGGGGGCTGCCCATGCAATTGGTTTGGGCATCATCTTTGCATTTTCTTGGAGTATGACCACCCTTTAGGTCTTCCACTTGCCCAGCACCAGCCACGGGTGTGGCAACCCAACTCATGCCCTCGTTGCTCTTTTTGTCCAACAGGGCGAAGCAATCCGCGGGTGCGGTGCAATAGGATGGCGGTGCTTAGCCCGCTGGTGTCCAAGTAACCATGGTGCTACAGCAATGTGCATAAGGGCCATAGCTGTGCGGAAAGGTCGCTGTATATCCCAGCGAAGCGGCCAAAGCCGTCATTGACTCTTTGAATCGCGATTCATCGAAGCCTCTGAACAGACTTTGCAACACGGAGTTGTGTTCCAGAGAGGAGCTGTATTGCTTTCGAACCTCATCAAAAGAAGCAGAAATGGTCATTCCTCTTGATGACGCGGCCTTCTGTATCAGAACCGGTGCGGTTATGCTCACCAGCAGTAGTGCAGCATTTTCGTCCTTTTGCTCGCCAAGCTTCTTCAGGACACCATCTTGCACAATCCTTGCTTAAACATGCTGAACGCAAACTAAATACTTAGCAAATATTGGCTCTTTGATACAAAAACACCGCTTGATTTATCTAGATTTGATACATATGTTCTTCTAGAATCTAGAACAGCATGTTGGACAAACAATGATCACACACGAAAAGGGACTTCATGACTTCATCCTTTATATAATCCAACTGGCCTGTGACTGCTCAACAAAAGTAAGACTGCCCGCAGGATTCCGCCAAAGCACACAAACCAACAAAACAAGAGGTTGGGCCAGTTCCATCAGCTCTTGTTGCAATCAACACACAAGGCACGAACGCCCAACGTCGTGTTTCAACGTTCTGGACTTCCAACCATTTGGGCCACTTCTTCCTCTGCCCAAACAGGCTGAGTTTGGGCCGTTGTGTGGAAGCTATCGAAAGGTGACGTGATCGGTGTTGCTTCGGACGCTGACACGGTGGGGCAACAGCCCCGTGAATCAGGAAACCCATCCAAGACCTGAATTAAAGAAGCAGGTCTGGAGCAGGCTCGGCTGCTGATTTTTGGGGGGAGATGTGGAGATGTCTTTGAGCACTGGGTTTCGGGTACCAAACAATAAAGGCTGCGCTCCTGTTGGCAAGCTCGATGTGGTCCATGCAGTGCAAATGCAATGTGTCTCTGTGCGTCTCGTTTGCGTGCTTAATATATTCTACAGTCAAACGCGGAGGGAGAGTATGAGTATTTGTAGGTATGGGATGATAATGGACCCCATGATGCAAAGCAACAAAAACAGAATGGAGCACTGTGGGATCTTTACCAGCCAGGACCTACCATGAGTTTGGGGCCTCTACGCTTCAGTTCATATCCCAAAAGACAAATATAGTCTACAGTATCCAGAAGTTTGGAATAGCACCGCAAAGGTTGCCGGAATAGAAACACCTTGTAATTTGTGCAAAGGAGTGGCCTTCTGGAAGCTGGCAGGAGCCGCTGCCAGATCCAGTAGGTACGCCAAGTGCGGTGAGAAGCACATCCAAGCATGCAAGAACCAAGCAGTGTTTGACAAGCACAGGCTTTGTCAAGAGCTCCCCACCTCTGGACAGTTATATGAATGGTGTAGGGCTTAACTGCATGGGGGTTCAGCCGGCAACATGAAACCCGCATCAGCACAACTGCTTTGTGGTTCGCATTCCGGGGCATTTTTAATTTGAAGTGCAGTGTATAAGCCTCGAATACTAGCCTTCCTGACCTATAGCTCTAGCTGGAAAGTTAGGAAACCTCGAAGTGGCATTCTCTTTGTGAGCTGTTGGCCGGATGCATTCCCTCTCACTGATTGAACGCTTCCACCGCATGGGGGAACCAACTGCGAAGCACGAGGCAAAAGGCCACAACTGTGAGATGGCTGCAACGAAAAAGGAAGAGCAAAGTCCAGTGCAAGTGACATAACAATGTCTGCAAACATTGCACCCCAAAACCCAATCTGGTTCCAAAGCTGCTGTTTCAATTTGGAGCTCAAATTGGAGCGACTGACGGTTTTTTGCGACTGGCGTCGAGGCAAAGAGCTGCTGGCGTTCAGGTTGCATCTGCTACGTCCCAGTGTCCAACACTAAAAAATAGTGCCACTACTACTTACCATCCCAGATCCGAGTAGTAAAACATGATGACAGTCCTCAATCAGAATAAGCATCGCGCGGTCCATTCTTCGATGCACAAACACAGCAAACACATGCCTGCCTCTATCGATGACAAAACGTATCAAACAACACCAAAGCAGGCAACTGCTCAACGAAAGAACAACTATGCTAAAGAGAGTGGCCGGCTAAATGCAGATACTTAGGCAACTCTCCCTCTGTTGCTCCGTCGTAGGCACCTGCGCACACCTCCTTAGCTGCCTTAGCTCCCTTCGGGTCCCCACCATGCAACTGACCAGTTTGAAGGGCTGCCCAATGCGGTCCAAGGCACTCTCGAGGGCTCACATCCAATCCGAAGCGCATCAGCTCTCGCTGCACGGCTGCCATGGAGACGTGTTGAGGCAAAAGGATCTTCCGATCGCGGTGATACTCAAGCACGTACTTGAAGAGATCTTGGTCCCCTTCAGAGGTGGATGCCAGTTGTCACTCTAGTAGCATGTATCTACTTGAGAGGAGGGAGACACGAAAGGTAGGACAGCGGGAAGAGAAAAGAACGCGAGAGGCAGGAACAAAAATGCAATGTTCGACATGGTGATTTATCCCCTCGGAGGCGACCTGTCGTAAATGCATGTTCATATGCACTCTAAATGTTCAAACATATGCTCTCGAAATGTTCAAAAAGATTCTGAGGAAAACAAACTTGCCCCATGGCTTAGATCATCGGTGAGCATTGAATCGGAGCATCATAGGATTTGAACTATCCTGAAACCATAAGAGGCTCACGAAGACGTTCCCCAGGAGAGAATTGGCGTGCTTCACAAAACAAACTCTAGGTATGTATCCCCTCGGGGAACACCTTTCGTGATTATGCACTCTTTCTGAATGTTCAAGAAGGTTTCATCTATCCTGAAATCATGAGAGGCTCACGAAGACGTTCTCCAGGAGAGAATTGATTTTAGAGGGGGGGGGGGTGGGGGGGGGGGGGGGGGGGGGTTGAATTGAATGATCAATTATTAGACCCGGACGTCCCAACACTTGCTTCGCAAGACAAACTCAAGGTATCCCCTAAAGGGCTACCTTTCGTGATATACTTGCAAGGGGCTGAGGAACTCCCTATACAAGGAGCTTCTTGACTCCCTGTTTCATGGGGAATGTGGATTGCCCCGGCTCCTCAGCCCCATCCTGAGCACCAGCTAGTTATCTGCTGTTAGTATCTTCCTAGTTCTTGGAGCCACTGGTTCATACTCCGGAGGGGTTGGCTACATTGATTGCAGCTCTTTCATGGACCACTTCTTTCAGGTTGGCTTTGTCCCCATTACCTTCATCAGGAGTTCGGAAGCAAATCTGCGGGCGCTCGAAAAGCTCCTTCACACTTCAAAAGGGTTTCTTGTTGCTCCGGCCCCTATATCCGAGTGTTTCTAGAACACTTGAGGCCGAGGGTAGGTGACGAAAGCTAGCAGGGGTGCATCC